TTTGATACGATAATGAAAGCTGTTGTTCAACAACCAGTGTTTTAAAACTAGACAGGGTCTTCTAGATTCGTGCACAACCTTGCTTGGATCTTCCTTCGTATCTGTTTTACATGGGACAAGACAATTAGAACCGTCCATGTGTCTGCATGTTGGGTTTTTATTATTAAAATGTAGGAAAAATAGAATCCGAAAAATTAAAGTGAACGGTAAGTGAAGCGCGCGAATTACGTCGCTCTTTTAAGATAATTTGTGCCTTTTATGAAAGAAACAAATTGTAGAAGATAATAACGCGTATTCCCCAAGATATAATAATCTAGCCTATTGATTGTTGCTTTATTTAGATCTGCACAATCAAATAAAACAAAAATTTTACACGGCGCCTTTCAATGTTGTTCAGAAACTTATGCAGTAGAGAATAATACTNGTCATTTTTTAATAGGGTAAATTGCATTGATACTCCTTTGAGATTGCCCTAATTACAAGGCCACTTTCTACGGTTTTTGTAATGTCACTGCCACTCCCTGTTAGATTATGTTAAGTTAACGGACTAAACAAAAATTGTGATTTTTCTGAATTACCCTTTAACCCTAATTGATCTTTGATTAATAACTTATTTGACCAATATTAAAATAATTTGGTCATAGTAAAATAACTCTTAATTGATCTTTGATTGAACACTAATTGACTTGTAATTTTATCAAATTGACATTTAATTTCATTAATTCAAATATTAATTTCATCACACTAACACTAATTTTATCAATTTAACACTAAATTAATATTTGATTTCATCAAATTCATATTCAATTTCATCAAATTAACATTTTAAAATTTAATTTTGTCAAATTAACATTGGAGTTATTGTACTTAGAATTTAATTTCATCAAATTAAAATTTAATTTAATCCAATTAACACCCATTTTATCAAATTAATATGAATTAACATTCAATTTTATCACACTAACATTAAATTGCATCAAATTAATATCTATTTCATCAATTTTACATTTATTTTCATGACATGAACATTAATTTTATCAATTTTGATACGATAATGAAAGCTGTTGTTCAACAACCAGTGTTTTAAAACTAGACAGGGTCTTCTAGATTCGTGCACAACCTTGCTTGGATCTTCCTTCGTATCTGTTTTACATGGGACAAGACAATTAGAACCGTCCATGTGTCTGCATGTTGGGTTTTTATTATTAAAATGTAGGAAAAATAGAATCCGAAAAATTAAAGTGAACGGTAAGTGAAGCGCGCGAATTACGTCGCTCTTTTAAGATAATTTGTGCCTTTTATGAAAGAAACAAATTGTAGAAGATAATAACGCGTATTCCCCAAGATATAATAATCTAGCCTATTGATTGTTGCTTTATTTAGATCTGCACAATCAAATAAAACAAAAATTTTACACGGCGCCTTTCAATGTTGTTCAGAAACTTATGCAGTAGAGAATAATACTATATATATTCAAATTATATATCTCTATACTGAAATAAGTAAATATATATACAAAAAATATAGGTATTTAATATTTTGTAATTACTCTCATATTTAATCAAATAATAAATATTAAAATTAAATAAAAAATAACTGTTAAAAAAATTAGCCGTTAGAATATTTAATATTCCGAAACTAAATTTTTAATAGAGGATGTGCACGTGAGAATCTCAAGGTTTGACTTTAACTCAAATGTTAGATAGCATTAGTGTGTATATATATATATATATATTCAAGTAATTTTAAAAATTTAATTGATGTGGAATTGAGTTTCCACATATAAAATACTCTCTTATTTAAAATACTCTAACATAAAAGTTTTTGTTGCTCCAAATTCTATTGTGATCGATAGAATGACTCAATCAACAAACAATCATCAGACGATTGTTAATGATGGATTCAATTGTCTTGTTTTAAAACTTTCTTGAATAAAATTTGTAATGATGAACACAACATAGTGAATTACTAAAAGGCGAAACATTTATTCAATTGAAAAGATTATTTGTTATCTACGAAGTACAAATATTTTGTTGATGTCGGAGTATTCGTATCGAATACTTTATCGAATACGATATTCGTTTGATACTCGAATATACGTATTAGATACACCTCTTACGTATCCGATAATAATTAAATATTAGAATACTTTATGGATACATTTGTGTTCAAGAAATATATAAAATTTTTGAGTTAAATTTTTAATATTTTTTTCCAAATTCACATACCATACAATACATTTACAAAAAGTCATACTACTTCAAAGGCACATGAGTATTTTTTTAAGTATTATCTACAATTACATGTCAAAAGAGTATAAAATAAATATATTACATTATAATCTTAGCAAAAATTACTTTTAAATAAATCGACTCAGTAAATATTAGATTTGATTCATTTAATTAATCACTTCACTTTGTGAATATACCATAGTGATATAATATATATTTTCTTAAAATTAAAAAGAATTATTAATTTTTCTTATTAAATATTATGCTGATAAAAAATATTAAATATATTTTATTATAGTCGAATATTGACCATACCCTTATCATTCTTTTTTAGATTTTGTCGCATCGTCGTAACCGTATCGTATCGTATCTTATTTTGTGTCCGTATCCGTTCTTCATAGTGTGTTACAAAAAGACTGAACTAAAAGCATTTAACTATAACATTAACTACTTCCTAAAATTAACTTAGCACTATTTCTAAAATGTCCTGATACTGGGTCTGGTGGGGGGTTTGAATTGTTTTTCATTTCCTTTTCTTCTGCCCTTTTTACAGCCACTATCCTTGACAGTTCTTCCTCCATCGATGGTTCCCTGATTGTCAACTCTCAGGCAGTTAGTTCCCCTTTTCAAACAAGGCCATAACTGATCATCTCCTACTTTAAAAACTTAAGCAGCTGAACTGTACCCTTTATTTCCCTCTGCTGCCTCTTACTTCTTGTCTTCGAAATCTCTCATGATTCTTCTTTTGTTTATTCCAATGGCTCCCGTGAAACAAAATCTTCCATCTTCAACTGTCTCTGATATCCCTTTCTCACCAAGATCTCCTACTGATATTAAGCAAGCCGCAAAATGAATCCATAGATCAAAAGGATTTAATCTCCGCCGCTAATTCAAGTGAGGTTTTCACTCTTGGTCTTTCTTTCAAATCGTACGTATGCGAGGGGTTCTCGAACTACTACTTTGCTCATGAAGCCCTAATTGTGATTGTATATTAATTATGCTATGTTTTACTTATTCCAATAAATAATATAATTGTATATTAATTATAATTTTTTAAGAAAAAAATTGACTTTTTATTTTTGATTTTATTTCAATAAATGATATAATAGAACATAAATTTCAGGTTATAAAATTTAAAATATTCGATATTCTATTTTTAATTAAAATATTTTTGGTCTAAACATAACATTTTAAACTTGAGGGGTCTAAGTATTATACGTTTACAAATTTCATAGAGTCTAAGTATAATTTACTAACAGATATTTGACAGCAGGGGTCCAAATATTACGCGCGTATAAATTTCAGGAAGTCTGTGTATAATATTTCAAATGTCAGAAGATCTGAATGATTAAGTGACAAATCTTAAGAGGTCTGTGTGTAATTCTCCCTTTCTCTTTTTATTACAAGTTATCCAACTAGAACCAGGTATTGGAGGGGAGGATTATTAATTGTTACTGGTTGTCCACAAATGTGCAACATTTACAATTTCCATTGAAAGGCCTATGCAAAACTATATTTATAAATTTCACACATGACAATTTTGTAAACAACTCGAAGTTTCAAACTAATAAACAATTTGATTTTTGTCAGTTGGATCCCTAGACCTTACTGAGAGCCATTGAGATGCTAACAAGTTTATTTTTTTCGTGGGCCAACCCACCAACCCATCGAGTCGGGCCACCCACATGTGGGCTGTGCCGGACATTGGAGCAGAATGGAGAACTATAGTTTCACCAGAGAAGACGATCTATAATAATGGAACAGAGCTTCCCGCTTGAGCTGTGCAAGTTCTTCACTTAGAAAAAAATACAATAACTGTCTAGATCATTTACGTTTGACGATTTATATTACGATTTGATATTTTAATATTTTAATCACAATAACAAATTTAAATATTAACTTTTAACCTTTTACTACTGACAAACCTAAATTCAGATCAGGTTTGGGCCAATTTCATGGATTGAGCCCAAATCATCAAAAGATTGACCACATTTAACTCATGACCTTACTCCAATCAAAAGTTCAAGAATCCAAGAAAAATCAATGTACAAGAGAAAACAATCATCAAGATAGTCATTACTCAAAGATAATGCCTATCTTCAATTGTAGCTATCCTCCTGATAAATTGGTAGTTGACCTTCACGTCACCGCTACAACTAGAGTTCTATGTCTATAAATTATAAATCTCTTACACATGAGAGACAGATCTCCCATGGAACGTACTCTTACTCTCTCTCTCCTACTAACTTGTACTCTTTCATCAATAGAGTTTTTCGGCCACCGTTATTGCCTTCAGTGGTTAGGTCAACCAGATCTAACCACCCAATCTTTGTCTCTTATTATTAATTGTTTAATTAATTATTTTATGTCATACACTTGATTGATTTGATCGTGCATAATCAATTTTGTGTATTATCACCTATAATAATTCATTTAAATTTTAAAATTTTAACCTTCTCACTATAATAATTCATTTAAAATTTACTTTTAACTCGAGTAACTCAACACATATTCTATAATAATCAATGTAACAGATCTGCCCAATTTTTAGAATTGGATGAAGGATTTGTCCATCTCTCCACATCACTTGGAGTCTAATCTAATTAGTGGCAAATCAATTTTGTCTTCTCAAGCAATTAGGAGTAGACTAAGGGGTTGTTTGATTGCACAATTTAACACTTACAACATCTTTATACATGATATTTTTCCACATGAAAATAGGGGGTTTTGGGGGTAGGGAGGAAACAACACACGAGACATGGGATTTGTCTAGAAATAGGAAAGAACGGAAAAAATAGTCTGCGCCACAGTAAGTAGGAGCAATACAAAAGCGGCAACAAATGAAATGAATGCCCATGGACTGTTGAAATAATTCCGTCTTAAGTTCGCCATCCATCTATTGTAAGGTCGCTTACAATGCTTGTTGACATTGTTGAAAACTTGAGTGTAAGTGAAGTTTTTGGAGAGTGCGGCACTATTCCCAAGATTGTTTAACATGGTGCATACCACCCCATCATCACCCAAAAAGTTTTTGATGATTCCGCAGCTGCGAAGCAATGAGGTATCGCTTGGAGAACTAATAAGGGACTCCATAAACTTGGCATAATCGGCAACATATCGTCGATGAATATCAGGAAGAAATTGTTCATATGCAATTAGATTTCTGAAGACCGATTCAGTTTCATCACCAATAGAGAATGGGGGAATTTCCAACAACCCATCATTGAACTTAATATCATATAAACTATTACATTCCTTGGCTGCCTTTAATTCAATTCCTGCCTCTTGGAGCTGTGTGACCGAGCTTATGAATTCCCATTCATCATTTTCATTTCCATATGATACAACCTTACCAAATGAAGCACACATAGAGTTGTGTACCAGGTGAAGTAGATGCTTGACATCATCCACTTCGATTTCTGAAGGTTTTGAAAGAGATGGTCCTGGCAATACATATTCCATAAAAGACAATGCCAAATAACGGATGTCTTCATGTGTGTTTGGATCTGTTGTCATGTTGAACAGTTTCACAACAATAAAAAATGGTAGTTGATTTTCCAGTAATAATAAATCACGTCGTATGTCAACTCGAAACCAGTGAGATTGGAAAATAGGGTCATTTTCATGCCTACGAAATAATTCAATCATGAAGAATCCATCAAGAAGCATCATTTTTAGAAACTCATATTCATTGAGGACACTAGATTCTGAATAACATTTTCTGGCTCTCTCCTCCACGTCACCCAAGGCCATTATGTATTTGTCCACACTCGTCTCATTTCTCTTTTTGAAAAGTTGATGTAGATACCGCATTTTGTGCTCTTCCATCTCCTTTAACTTATCTTTACCGTAGTAATAAGGACCAATTGCAAGCTTTAAGGGTTCATAGGCTTTTTTATTTTCAACGCGAATTTCATCATATACTCCAAAGATGCAATGGTCAGAGGGTGTTGGAGATACGCAGGCAAGTTGTTCGTCTATCATTAAGGAGATGTGATCAGCTCTTTCAGACATCTTTAGCTTCTAGAAGTAGAAATGACCTTCTCTGTGTGGCATTCATATGTCAAAAAAAAAAACTTACTTGATAAAAACAAAATCTATATATATGCAGTTAAGACATAGGAGATGGCTTTAAAGAACTTACTTGATAAAGCTCTCCAGTCTTCCTCAGAGCTGTTGCTCATGATACAAAGGGAGAAACAATCCTATTTATAGACTGTCATTTAGTTCACAGCAAATACTCTTTGTATCAGAGGATCGTTTTTTGACACTCTGCTAAAAGTTATGGAACAAACAAAACGTTGCGATTCTATTTGGTAAGATTATGACGAAATAAAAAGGCGTTTCGGATGGGTTATAAATATATAGAATTGAACCTATTATTTGTAGCAGTAACTCAACTTTTTTGATCTAACCTGAGGCCTAACTTCATAATATCGAATCATAATCTTATCCTTATAGAATCATAATCGTACTCGTAATCTTAATCTGTTGTGCGTTGTATTCGAATCGTTTTTCATGTGGAATGAGACAAAGTGAGTCAAAAAGTGTTGGCGCGATAACAAAAAAGAGAAAAAAGCCCAGTGTCTTCCTTCAATCACTAAAACATCATGAATTTTGTCAAATAAAAAATGCACCCCAATTAGTTAACGTCATCTAATTTTTCATTTCTTGACATTCCACGTGTTAAGCATCTAATCATAAATAATACTTTTTAATGGAAGAAAGCAAAATTACCATACAATTGTAGGAGGTCAATCGATGTTAATGCATTTTTACATACAAAAAACCGAAAGTCATTTTGTAGTTGGGAAAAATCGCTAACATTTTGAAAAATTCCAAGGTAAATGTGAGATTTTAGATTTTAGAGAGAATAAAATAATATGTAACACAACCAAAAGAGATGCTGCCTTAACACTTAAACGTGACTCACATGATGTAGAATTAGGTGTGTCCATGGCCGAGCTAGGCCTGAATAGGTTAGGTCCAAGCCTTTATTTGGGCGGATTGTTGATCGGGTTGGGCTGGATTTCGAATAGGAGTTGGGTACCACAGTCCAACATATATATATACACTCAAATATGGGGCACAAGATCGAAAAGAATGCACGGGGGGTTTGAACTGGTGCTTACACTGATGCTCTGGTCCTTGCCTTAAAGTGACGAACTACAAGTAAAGAGAATTGGGTGGCAAATAGGCTATAAGAGTACTCTGGAATATAAAGCAGGACAACAAATAAAAGTAGAACAAACGACAATGTCGCCCGTTTTCATTTTGTGGAAGTCCAAAGACGCAGATGAGAGTTTCAATGATAATGGACCATATGAGTGCGAGGTCGAGGAGCTGCTGCTCGAGAGGATATATATATATATATATATATATATAGTTTCTTTTAAAAATATTTTAACTTAATATTTTTATAAATTATATTTTTTAATTAAAAGTAGAGTCAAAATAGACAAAAAATAAATGACGAATAATTTTACTTATGAATATGGGAGGAACTGAATTACAATAGAATGGACACATCTAATTAGATTGATATTTACTCACCTATCTATCATTTATATTATTCTATCACTTAAAACGTGTATTTTTAATACATAAAAAAAAAGAATATATTATTTATAATGTTTAAATTCTAAATCTTCGAATTCTGAGGGTAGAAGGACATATAATAGTGTTTTAAAACTCGGCCGGTGGGTCAACCCCGTAAACCCGGCTAACCGGAGTCAAACCTGTTGAACCGTCCAATTTTTAATTGAACCGTCCAACCCGGAATGATTGATGTCAATTTTTGCCCTAAATCGTTTTTGATTTCTCTCCTCTCAAGCGAAGACGTGAATGACTGAGGTAGACCACCTCTTCACTCTCAGACTCTGTCTCTCTCTCTCTTTCTTTCTTTCTCTCTCTCTCCCCTTCTTTGCAGTTCAAGCCTGCATCGGTTGAACTCGAAGTAGAAGGTGAAGTTCGAGCTTCGAAGCAACAAACCTTCGATGTCAAGGCAAGAGCTCCATCATTGACGACGACTCCCATTTTCTTCCCTTAAGTTTGAAACACCAACAGGCATAAGGTACTTCCAATTATCCCCCTCCCCCTCTGTTTAGTCTAGTCTGATTTGAGTCTCTTTGAAATTTTTTTTATTCAGTTATGATTTGATTTTGTTGAATCTGATTATGGTTTTGATTATGTTGAATATTGAATCTGATTGTGGTTTTGATGACGTTGCATATTGAATTTGATTATGCACTTGTTATTTATAGCATAATTTTCTTAAAAGCTTATGTTCGTTGTGATTTACAAGTTTGTATTGAAAATTGAATAGGTTAAAAACATGGTTGATGATTTTGGGGTTTTTTTTTATTTAATATACATTAAGGATGTAATTTTCATAATTATTGTAATTTTTTAACCTATTTATAATTTTTATAATTATTTTAATTATATAATTGATTCAACTGATAACCCACTAGTTGAATCGGTAACCTATTAACCTGGTCACTTTGTCAAGTTGATATCCGAACCGGGTTTTAAAATTATGGGAGATAGTTTGGGTTGGGCAAGAGGGCTCTTGGGCCGGATTTTTATGGACAAGTAATGAGTTTGTGGGTAAGTCCAAACCTTCTCTTAAAAGATATTGGGCTCGGACGGATCAATTATCGGATTTTAATTTTATTTTTTTGGGCTGGAAAAGAGAACCCATGGGCTAACCCTACCCATGGACACCCCTAACTAGCTGTATTAAACTTCTGAAAATTTAATCAACTTTCTTAGGCGGAAGTGGTACAAGCAATTAACCCACCTACACAAGACAATGCCTTAAAACTGGTGTTTTCAAGTGTGTTTAGATTACCTTGTCATGTTAAGCAATTTCACAAGAAATACGAAATATAGAGGTTGATTTTAAAGCGGTAGTAAATCAAACCGTATTTGGTGTATCGGTAAAATTATTTCATTGTGCTTTCATTGCCAAAATCTATGCTTTGATCAATAAAAAATTAACTGTCTCAAATCACAAGCGTGACATGTGAATTATCAACAGATGAAAAGTGAATCGACATTCAGAAATTAATAAAGCATTATAACTTTTCAAAAAGAAATTCAGAAATCAATACAACTTATATTTGTATAGTATTTGTGGCTAAGATGAGAAGTAGATAAACATTGAATTAGAGGCAGTGAGGACAAGCAACACAAAAGCACCAATCAGTGAAAGGATAGACCAAGGGCTATTGAAATAATCCTGCTTCAATTTGGCCATCCATATGCCCCAACTATGCCTCCATTTGGCCATCCGTCTATACTGGCGTCGTTCACAGTGCTCCTCAATTTGACTACGTATTTTGGAATAACAGAAGCTATAATTAGGCATCCATCTTTTTCGAGCAACCTAAAATTCCATTGGTGAAGTATTTTGACATCCATTGGTGACTTGATGAGGCTATTCATAAACTCCATATAATTAGTCACATACGCCCATTCATTTTCATGAGCGTACAACTCGTATGGTATTCGATATCTGAACAATATCTCGATGTCATCTTTAATGCAAAACCAAGGGATCGTTACGATTCCCATTTTGAAGTCTATATCCAGCAATGAGTCACGACTGAAGGCCACCGTGAATTTAATACCGGCCTCTTGAATCTTTGTGGCACATCTTGTTAGCTTCGGAACGAAGAATATGGGCTGACCCAAGCGATCCAGAAATGAAGGACGCATGCGAGAACGCATGACGCCTAGAAGATGATGCAAATCTACCGTCGTAGGTTGACATATAAATCGATAATTCCGTATGAAACTGACTTGCTTATAGAGGCAAGTCCATAAATCTCCTTCGATTAGAAAGTGTGGTTCGTTGGTCATGTCCGATAGCAGACTGAGGATGAACAAAGGTAGTTGATTTTCAAATAACAATATATCTTGAACTAAAATAACCCGAATTCAGCTCGACCGTAAAATATCTATTTTTCTCGACTTTGGAGGCCTACATTTTCTCAGTAATTCCACTATAAAAATTCTTTCGAGTAGCATCATTTCCACGAACTTATCCCTACTAAGTTCTACGTGTCCTGCATAACAATTCCTTGCATGTTCTTCCAATACTTCCATGGCTTCGACATATTTACCCACACTTGACTCCTTTACTCGTTCAAGATACTCTTGTAGGTAGTGTAATTTATGCCCTTCCATCATTTTTAGGTATTCTTTATCATGGTGTTAAGGACCAATTGCAAGTAATTCTAGCTCATAAGCCCTTTTATTTTCCTTACTTAGGACTTCATCCACTCTAAAGATATAAGGTTCATATGGTACTTTGGATGATCAGGCGGTAAGTTTTTGATCGATGCGAATTGATAGCTGAGACATTTGGTTTCCTTCGTACTAATCATAACCAAATATCCAAGAATTCGTCAAAAAAAAAAAACACAAAAATGTGTTTTTCATGCTGCAAACAAAACTGAAATAATATTTGAGTTTTACATTTGAAAGGGTTAGATTCTAGATGATTGATATATGTGTGTAGATGCAATAATGCTATTATTTGTTTCAATCAATAAAACTTATTTTTTTTATATCCCAAGATCACCTTGTGTGCCCAAATTCACGATTTTATAACTTTGTATAGAAATAATAAATATGCAAAAAAAAATGGTTAATTGCATTGAAAGTCCAAAAAATATAAAATTTGTCTCATTTTGGTTTTCAATATTTCATTTGCATCATTTCAGTCCTTGAAGTATTACATATATTTTTATATGGTCCCTCAAATAGACAATGTCCAGATTACTAATGATTTTTTACTATAAACTTGTCACATAATATTTAAATATGGGCAAAAAAATAACACGAATGACTCTTAACCAAAATTTTGGTCTAAAGCTACTCATATTACACATTTTTTGGCCAAGAGCTCTCAAATTTTAGTCAAGAACTAAAATTATTTTTTCTTCATATTTATGTATCACGTTACAAATTTATAATTAAAAAAAAATGCTAGCGATTTAAATGTTGTCTACTTACAGAAACATATTGAATACATCAGGAACTAAAATAATACAATTAAAATATTGGGGAGTAAAATAAGACAAATTATATACTTTAGGGATCTCCAGTATAATTAACCCAATATAAAATCATGAAATTGGCTCGCTAATTTTAGGTTTGTAAGCACTAGTCAAAGTCCTTACCAAAAAAAAAAAAAAAAAAACTAGTCAAAACTACTTTCATGGAAAGCATAAAATGAACTCTTAATACCATCATAAAACCTATTTGAATTTAGTACGTGTCAAATTTATTTTTTACCTTTCTTTTTCGAAATTGTTAATATCTCTCGCAAAGAGCAACAACCATTACAAAATTAAAAAAATCCGGACAAAGATCATTACTCGCAATTTCAAAAATTACAAACTGCTTGAGCAAAAGCAACAAATATTATGACAAATTGATTTGCAGAGCTATACATGAAACAAGAATCAAATAGAGAAAAAAAAAACGTAATAATACCTTGCATATGTAAAAAAAAAATCAGAGGATTGAATTTTGAAGAACTTATTTGATATGCTTTTCAGTCCTCCCTCTCGATGGAAATATTATGTGAAGATGAGACAGGAAATAAGAAGAAGAGGAAGAGGAAGAAGAAGTAGAAGTAACTCGAGATAGAAAGGAGGTAAAAAAATCCATATTTATAGGCAGTTGATTTCTTCTTTTTCGTTATTCAACATGCAACATGTCGGTTTGACTTAAAGAGAGATTATTTCCAAGCAAAAACATGAAGGCAAAGAAATTTCCAAGCAAGAGCGCATGAGATACCATAAATTTCGAGCTTCCACACTGCAGGGGAGTAGTAATCTGATGAAGGTATCTTCTGTCCTTATTTATTTATTATTACTTGAATAAATTACACTTTTATCTCAACTCTACTTAATGCTGATCTCACTTTCACTCTTTAACTATTGAATTTCTCACATTGCCCCTCACTACTTGAATTGGTTTTACATTAACCCATATGCAAAAATCTGTCATCTTTTTAGGTGGATAACATCCATTTATCTGAGCGCATTGAAAAAAATGTCTTAATTTAGAGAGGGCAAGTTCAGACATATTTCTATCAAATTTGCAATAAAATGTAAAATTAATAATCATAATTGATTAGAGTGTAAGGCAAGAAACATAATAACTGAGGGAGCAATATGAGTTGGAGGCTATAGTTTAAAAATCAAAGCGTACTATTTCCTTGTTACTTGTAATGCCGTAGAAGAGACTTGGTTAATGTCTTCTCGATCTNGCAATAAAATGTAAAATTAATAATCATAATTGATTAGAGTGTAAGGCAAGAAACATAATAACTGAGGGAGCAATATGAGTTGGAGGCTATAGTTTAAAAATCAAAGCGTACTTTTTCCTTGTTACTTGTAATGCCGTAGAAGAGAGACTTGGTTAATGTCTTCTCGATCTTTTTTTATCTATGTCATTGAAAACGAATGAGTTTTTTAAAACTCAAGAGGACTTCCTTGAGTTTGGCTTCTATATGTCTTCGTCTTGTACAAATACCATATGGTATTCCACCACCAACACCAAGAAAGAAAATAAAAGAAAAAAAGTATTGAGGAGATCTAGATCTGCATATAGTACATTGAGAGGCATAAGCAAACACCAACCAGAGTAGTAGAGTCTTTGAACTTGGCTCGTTTATGTAAGGATACAANATGGTATTCCACCACCAACACCAAGAAAGAAAATAAAAGAAAAAAAGTATTGAGGAGATCTAGATCTGCATATAGTACATTGAGGGACATAAGCAAACACCAAGCAGAGTAGTAGACTCTTTGAACTTGGCTCGTTTATGTAAGGATACATTTGTTTTCATGGATTTAGATGGGTGAAGAAGTCATTGATAGGGTTTGGCTCTTTTATTAAACAAGATTTAAAATTGAATTTGAATATAGTTAGTTGTATAAATGAAAGAAATTGGAGGAGTTTTAATCCTAACCACTTTGGTGAGGCTTGCATTTTAGGATACAAATTTCGGTGGTTAACTTGCCCTAATGTTCTTAATTTCGCTCATAGTAGATCAGATCATGCCCTCGGACATTTGAAGTCAACTTTCTCCTTGTTTTTTTGGTACATGATATCCCCTTACAAGTGCTTCAAAATGGGAGACCGCTTTGGGCCACAAATTTAATTTCACTCTCAAATAGGACCCACTGGACGACTAACTACACTATTAATTTTGGTATCCAATGAGGCTGTCAATGTTGACCCAAAGACCTTTTCCNAACTTGCCCTAATGTTCTTAATTTCGCTCATAGTAGATCAGATCATGCCCTCGGACAAAGGCAAGATTTTCTAGGGTGGGTGGCAAAGAAAGAGTGGGCATGATGAGTTTCGTGGGGTTGGTGGCTTAGGAGGTGTGAAAAAGTTTTTGAACCAAAACATTTTGTGCATTTCACACTTTGCAACTAACTACAGTATTAATTTTGGTATCCAATGAGGCTGTCAATGTTGACCCAAAGACCTTTTCAGTACCATCAGAATTTATCATATTTGTGATAATTTTTGTTATATTTATTAGTATTATAATACTCATTTAAATAGTAAAAATAACTACCATAATAATAATAGAAAACCCACAAATAATATAAAAACACTCACAAATATACTAAATCACCTACAAAAATGATAAATTTTTATGTACTTATGAAAAATGGTAAAAATAGTTACCACAAATATAATAAAAACACCTACAACAATGGNGAAAACCCACAAATAATATAAAAACACTCACAAATATACTAAATCACCTACAAAAATAATAAATTTTTATGTACTTATGAAAAATGGTAAAAATAGTTACCACAAATATAATAAAAACACCTACAACAATGGTAAAAAGACTCATAAAAGGGATACATTAACCACCAAATTGATAAATTTTTTATTTGTAAAATGACCAACAAAAGTTGTAAAAACACCTTTTAAAGTAGTAAATTTTGAAGGTATAATACCAAAACTTTCTCGGCGATACCGTAATTAAATCCATACTTGAGACCTTAAGCTCAAATTTTAGATGAGAGTCTATTTTTTTNTCGATACCGTAATTAAATCCATACTTGAGACCTTAAGCTCAAATTTTAGATGAGAGTGTATTTTTAAAAAAAAAAAATTAAACAAAGCACAAGCCCAAAACAACAACATAATATAACTCAAAGATAATGACAAAGAAAATTAGAATGCAAACCGCAACTAGAGGAAAACAAGTCCTTGGTAGGGGCTGACCCCTTATCTCCTAATTAAAAATATGGTAAAAATCATAGTTGAGAGAGAGGAGAAGCTACACAGTAGCACCAATGAGTGAAATGACGGGCTGTTGAAGTAATCTTGCTTTAATTTGGCCATCCATATATCCTTATTATGCCTTAATTTTGCCATGCGAATATTCTGAGGTCTTTTGCAATGCTCACTAACTTCAGTGGACACTTACCAATGGCAAAACCTATCAGGAGACTGCCCAATGGCAAGTTTTTCATTGAAGCGATTAGATAGCCTGGACATTTTTTTCCTATAGAAATCTACAAGTACTCGTGGCAAACAAATATCAAAGATTTATTAGAAGAGACTACATATTCATCATCAGGAAGATAGATTCTTGACCATAACAATGCAATAGCTCATAAAAGAGTGTACTTCAAACAAGATTTTAATTGCTACAAGACTAGCTAATAGTTAGACTATTTTGAAGGAAACAAGGTAAAATGCTTTCAATACACCTTTACAATATTTTGTAACTTGAAAGAAACCAAGTGGGGAAGTTAAATCCAGCCAGTGGCTTAAAATATATATTTAAATCGAGAGATATTACTTAAATAATTCAAATCAATACAACTTATTTTTTACATAGTATTTGTGCCAAAGACAACAAGTAGAATCAACATTGAATTAGGCTTGTGAGGTAGAACACAGTTTGTATGGCAGTGAGGACAAGCAAAACCAAAGCACCAATCAGTGAAAGGGAAGACCAGAGGCTATTGAAATGCTATGCCTCCATTTGGCCATCCATCTATTTCGACGTCATTCACAGTACTCATCAATTTGATTGCATATTTCGAAAT